GATTATAGTTATATGAGCCAGGTAAAGAGTACATTTCTTTTTGAACAATGTCACCCCTTTCCCTTACTTTCCCAGTTCAACAAAGTTCTATGGAAGCCTGGCTTGCTCCAACATTTCCCCTGCACTTCCAAGATAGAATAACGGCTCCTCTTATCCCCCCTCCCCTCTCCCGCAACCACCATACCTCTCCACCATTCCTAACTCACACAGCTGGCAGAAACTCTAATTCAGGACTCCTTTTCAACTGACACTGACCTAGACTTCAATCCTCCTATTTATGTAGCTGGGATCATAGGCTCACATCACCAGGCCCAGCCTTTTCTGTTGATATGGGGTAGTCTCATGAGCATTTTGCTCATGCTGGCCTCCTGATCTCCATCTCCTGAGTAGCCAGGAGGTGAACTACCATATTTGACCAAAGCTGGTCAGAAGCAGCAACCCTGGCCTTTTCTGGGTCTCTTATTCTTGAAACTCAGCTGCCATGCTGTGAGGAAGCCCACACCACATGCAGAGGCCATGTGGGGACTCCTGATCCCGAGGGAGAGCTGCCCGGCTGAGATCAGTCAACCTCTGGACTGCTGAGATACATCTCTAATAATCACCTCCTGCTGCTTTACAATGAAGTTGAAGGTGGCTTTTGATGTAGCTACAGGAACACATAACTGTCGGTTACTCTGAGAGAGAGGGAGAGACCTATGCGAAGTTCTTAGAATCCACTAGAATGTTAGCTCCACAGAAAGGAGACTTCTTCCTGTTTCTTGCTAAATCTTCAATGCCTAAACAGTACCTGGCAAATAAGATGCACCAAATACATGATAAGTTTTATAGGATTCTAGGCATTTACACACAGTGAGACCAGAGGAGGATATTGCACAATGTCTATGTGCAAATGACCATATAAAATAACATTTAGGGCTGGGACGGTGGCTCAGTGGTAGAGCGCTTACCTTGCATGCCTGAGGCCCTGAGTTCGACTCCTCAGCACCACATAAGCAAAAAGAAAAAAGCCGGAAGTGGCACTGTGATTCAAGTGGTACAGTGCTAGCCTTGAGCTGAAGAGCTGAAGGACAGCGCCCAGGCCCAGAGTTCAGTCCCCACGACCGGACCCAAAAGAAAAAAAATAACATTTATCAAAACGAACTCTAGGAAGTGGAAACTAGAGGTTCTTTTTCTTTGTTGCTATTTTTGTTTTCTTTTCTTTTTGTCTTGTTTGTTCATTTATCTGTCTTTGGGAGGGTAACATGGAGCACAGAAATGGAGGGAGAAAGGGTGAACAAATGCAGCAGTGGTACTCACTAGACACTACGTTGAAAATGAACTATACACCTTGTGGGTAGCGATGGGAGACAAAAAGGGAGGGGTTGACATTGTCCAAAAAAATGTACTCTTTACCTGACTTACGTAATTGTAACCCTTTGTATATCACCTTTATAATAATAAAAAAAATTTAAAAAGAGATGCTAACTTTCGATATGCCAACAATGTACAAGCAGAAAGGGAAATCATGAAAACAACTCCATGTGCAGTAGCCTCAAAAAAACAAAACTAGGAATTAATCTAACCAAAGATGTAAAATATCTTTATAGTGAAAACTATAAAAATCAAAGAAAAAAATAAAAGAGGACATATAATCAATATTGTGAAAATGGCCAAACTGCCAAAAATGATATACAAATTAAATGCAATCCTCATCAAAATCCCAATGATGTTCTTTACTGAGATAAACAATCCAAAAATTCATATGGAACAACAAAAGACTTAGAATAGCCAAAGCAATTCTAGGCAAAAAAAAGCAATGTGGGTGGTATCACAATACTAGACTTCAAACTCTACTACAGAAACAGCTTGGTACTGGCCCAAAAATAGACCCAAAAATCAATGGAATAGATTAGAAGGCCCAAAAATAAAACCATGCACTAACAGTTATCTGATATTTGATAAAGGAGCCAAAGACATACAGTGGAAAAAAATATATAGCCTCTTTGGTAATTGCTGTTGGGAAAACTGGGCATCCACACGCAGAAAACTAAAAGTGGATTCCTGTTTGTTACCATGCATCAATATCAACTCAAAGTGGATCAAAGACTGCAATGTCAGACACAAAACTTTGAAACTACTGTGAGAGAGTAGGAGTAACATTAGAACTTACAGGTATAGGTAGAAACTTCTTGAAAAGAGTCCTAGGAATACAGCAGATAGGAGAGAGACTTGACAAGTGGAACTACATCAAAATTAAAAGTTTTTACACAGTTAGGGATGTAGTTATTGAACTAGAAAGATAGCAAACCACCATGGTTTCCCTCATTTGTAATAATTAGTATATACCTAGGATAGTACTAGCAGAGAATCACAATAGCTCAAGAACTATGCACATATGACCACATAAAATGATGCTAGCTGAAATGAACTCCATGATATGGAAACAGGAGGGTTTTTTGTTTTTGCTTTAGTTTATGTTTTTTTGTTTTTAGTAGTCAGGCTTGAACTCTGGGCCTGGGCACTGTCCCTCAGCTCTTTAGCTCAATCCTAGTACTCTCCCACTAGAGCCACAGTGCCACTTCTGGTTTTCTGGTAGCTAATTGGAGATTAGTCTCACAAACTTTCCTGCTTGGGCTGGCTTTGAACCACAATCCTCAGATCTCAGCCTCCTGAGTAGCTAGGATTATAGGCGTGAGCCACCAGCGCCCGGCACAAGAGGGTTTGTGGTTGCTGTTGTTTTGTTTTTCTTTTCTTTTGTTTTTCTTAGTGTACTGTTTGCAGTTATTTCTTTTGTCTTTCATTTTTATCTCCTCTGGGTTTATTCCCTGTGATCACTGTTTCCGATTTCAGTAATCTTTGTCTTATATATGTTTGTCAGGTCTGGAGAATGGAAGGGGAATAACAGAAATGGTGGGACAAGGGATGAACTGATACAACAGCAATACTCACTAGATACTATGTTAGAAATGAACATTACAACTTAGGGGTAAGGGGGTGGGGGAGAGGGCAAAGAGGGAGAAAAACAAGGGAGAGGATAACACTGTTCAAAAAGAAATGTACTCATTCCTTTACTTATGTAACTGTAACTCGTTTGTACCTCACCTTTACAATAGAATAAAAAGAGCCGACAAACTGGGAAAAGATCTTTACCAGCAATATGTCAAAGGCCTAATATCCAATATATACAAGGAGCTCAAGAAAGTAACCTCTCCCAAACCAGTCACTAAATGGGCAAGGGAGCTAAGGAGTGACTTCTCAGAAGAGGTAGGAGGGACTGGGAATGTGGCTTAGTGGTAGAGTGCTTGCCTACGGAAGCCCTGGGTTCGAGGCCTCAGTGCCACATAAACAGAAAAAACTGGAAGTGGTGCTGTGGCTCAAGTTGTACAGTGCTAGCCTTAACTAAAAAAGAAGTTCCGGGACAGTGCCCAGACCCTGAGTTCATGGCCCTGGAGGGGAAGAAGGAAGGAAGGAGGAGGAGGAGGAGGAAGAAGGGGAGGGGGTGAGGAGGAGGAGGAAGTAAGAAGGGCATAGATACACATGAGGGAATGCTTATTATCTTTGCCCACAAAGGAAATGCAAATCAAAACAACTCTGAGATTGCACCTCACCCTAGTAAGATTGTCAACATTGTGAATTTGAGGAATAACAAATGTTGTGGGGGATATGGGGAGGAAGGAACCCTACTGCACTGTTGGTGAGAATGTAAACTAGTACAACCACTCTGGACATCAGTCTGGAGGTTCCTCAAAGAACTAAACATAGATTTTCCCTACAACCCAGCCATACCACTCCTGAGCATCTACCCTGAACATCATGAGCCAGGATATGATAAAGACACCTGCATATCCATGTTCATTGCCACACTATTCACAATAGCCAAGATATGGCAACAGCCCAGATGATCCAAAGTAGATGAGTAGATAAAAAAAATGTTGTACCTATACCCAACGGAATTTTGCAGAGTCATTAGAAAGAATAAAATAATGTCATTTGCAGGGAAATGGATGGAACTAGAACAATTCATGTTAAATGGGATAAGCCAGGATCAGAGAGACAAGCTGGGCACTGGGGTGGCTCACACCTGTAATCCTAGCTACTCAGGAGGCTGAGATCTGAGGATCCTGGTTCAAAGCCAGCCCAGGCAGGAATGTCCGTGAGACTCTTATCTCCAATATACCATAAGAAAAACCAGAGGTGGCACTGTGACTCAAATGGTAGAGCACTAGCCTTGAGCTGAAGAGCTCAGGGACAGTGCCCAGGCCCAGAGTTCAAGTCCCATGACTGACAAAAAAAAAAATCAGAGAGACAAATGGCGCATGTTTTCCCTGATATGTGGAAGTTAGATCTAAAATGAACTTGGGATGTGATAAATTATACAGGATTCTAGATACTCACACACGATGAGCCCAAAAGAGGATACTCTTAGGAGAGAAACACAAAGGTGCAATGCTTAAGTGTCTCTTCATATTTATATAATATATATACTGAAATGAACTCTAAGATATGGAAACAAGAGACTTCCTTCCTTTTTTTAGATTTTAGTTTTTGATGATTCTGTCTTCTATGTATGGTGTACTCAAGTGTACATCTTCAGAAGGGCTCGGGAAAGGGTACGGAACTCAAGGGAAAAAAATGGGTGAAAAAGTGCAGCAGTGGAGCTTGCTGGACACTGCTGAAAATGAACTCACGAGTGCAGACAGGAGGGAGGGACTGGGAGAAAATAAGGGCACAAGACACTGCACAAAAGGAAATGGACTCATTACCTGACTTGTGTAATTGTAATCCCTCTGTACATCAACTCTATAATAACAATAAATTATTTTTTAAAAAGAGGTGCTAAATGTTTCCTAAATAAATGGCTTCATCTAAGCGTGATTCATCATTGAATGATTCATCATTGTTCTGAGGGTGGTGTACTGTTGGTTACAGATGGTATGGGCAAGGGAGAAGCAAAAAGATCAATGAGGGACACATGGCAACTGTGCAGGCCACAGAGAAGACCCACTTGGTGCTCTGGTTCGTGCTGTTACCTGTTACATTTATTTCTCCCACTGGAAAAAGGCTATCCCTGCCATCCTCACCCACAGGGAGCGGGACCTTCACGCCCACCACCATCCTCTTTCTGCTCATTCCACTGTTGGATCTGCTCCATCTCCATCCAGAAGCTGTGTGTGGGCAAGCTCTCCTTCCAGGACACCAAAGAGACGTGACCGTGAGCAGGGCGTGGATGCAGGGCACTCTGCTTCCCCTTCCCAGGGCCTGTGGAAGGGCCAGAGCTGTGGCAAGCTGGAGAGAGGAGGGAAGTCAGGATGGACTGTGTTCTCGCTGGGGTCTCTCCTGAAGTCAGCTTGGATGCTCTGGGGGCTGGCATGCTTCTTCAGCTTGTCTCTGCAGCCACAGACACACAGAGCTATGGCAGCCCATGGCCCTGCTTGAGAATCCTTGGCAACTGAGATTGAAATGCTACCGCTACTGCTGCTATTGAGAACCAAGGAAGGCCCAGCATGCTTTGCTCCCTCTGCCTCCTGCAAGGCCAGCGGATGGGTGGGAACAGGAAGCTCCAGGACAGATGAGGAAATCCCAGTGTAGCACCTCTCTGACCTGGACATACCCCAGAAGTCTACCATCTCCTCCCACCCCACCTCCTTCTCTGGGAATCTCAGTGTCCCAGCCCTGAGTTCCCTGTCCCTCCCCTCCCAGACTGAGCTGCACTGAGCAAAGTAAGAGCCCTGAGGAATAGCTGTCAACGTAAGCTGATCCATCCTCTTCCAGAGCTAGACCAGCACCTGCATCCATTCACGTATCCTCCAGTCCTCCGCACTTTTCAACACGCATGGATGATTCCCACTGCAAGCAAACAAATGATTCCAGGACCAGACGGAGCAGCACTCCCGGTCCAGAGTTTCAGAGGAGCTTGCAGGTAACACGCTCACACTGCCAGCCAGAACCAGAATCCTTGAGAAGGGTTGGAGTTGATAACAGCAGCAAATACTCCAGACTAGAACGTACTTTCACACACACACACACACACACACACACACACACACACACACACACACACACTTGTGCACACATGCATGCACCATCAGGCTATTGCCCCTGCCAGGTGAGAGGAACATAAAAAAATAACCCTAGGTTTCGCAAGTGCAGAAAGAAGAGTATTCTGTAAATTCTACAGATAGCTCAGCTCCATATTGATCCAGGATCAATATGGGCTGGATCCTCTTCTTTTTCTACCCGGAAACATAAACAATAAACATATAGGCAGCTTGAACCGCCTTCTTAAAAAGTTGATTTAGACTAAACAATAAAAGTCATCCAAATGTTTCTTTTAAAAAGGCACATAAGGGGCTGGGAATGTAGCTTAGCTGGGCCTTTGATAGCTCACACCTATAATCCTAGCTACTCAGGAGGCTGAGATCTAAGGATCAAAGATTGAAGCCATCTCACACAGAAAAAGTTAATATTTTTTCAGTGGTGGAAAGCAAGCCCACATGCTAGGCAAGTGCTCTACCACTAAGCTATTGCCCCTCCCCCCTTCCTTTCCTGTTTTATTTTAAGACAGGGTCTCACTGTGTAGTCCAGGCTGATCTAGAACCTGAACTTCCTCTCTCTTTTCTTCCTTCCTTCCTTTTCTTTCTTCCTTCTCTCTCTCTTTCTTTCTTTCCTTTTCTTTTTTTTTTTTTTTTTGGTACGGTCATGGGGCCTGAACTCTGGGCCTGGGCGCTGTCCCTCAGCTCTTCAGCTCAAGGCTAGCGCTCTACCACTTGAGCCACAGCGCCACTTCCGGCTTTTTTCTTTTTGCTTATGTGGTGCTGAGGAATTGAACCCAGGGCCTCAGGCATGCAAGGCAAGCGCTCTACCACTGAGCCACCTTCCCAGCCCCTCCTTTCTTTCTTTTCCTTCCTTTCTTTCTTTCCTTCTTTCTTTCTTCCTTTCTTTTCTTCCTCTCTTTCTTCCTTTCTTTTCTTTCTCTCTCTCTCTCTTTCTTTCTTTCTTTGCTTGCTTACTCTCTCTTTTTGGTGCTGGTTCTGGGGCTTGAACTCAGTGCCCAGGGGACTGTCCCTAAGCATTTGTGCTCAGGGCTAGTGCTCTACCACTTGAGCCACAGTTCCACTCTCAGAGTTTTAGTAGTCAACCCACAGATAAGAGTCTCATGGACTTTCCTGCCCAGTCTCCTGAGTAGCTAGGATTACAACAGGCATGAACCACCAGCACCTGGCCAACCTAGACCTATGTATCCCAGGCTGGTCTCGATCCTGTTGCCTCAACTTTCACAGTAGTTGGATTACAGAGATTGGGCTTTGCACCTAGCAACAACTTTAGGTATTTATTTTTGGTGATGCTGGGGTTTGAACTCAGTATTTCCTACTTGCCAGGTAGGTACCGTACCACTTGAACCATGCCCCCAGCCCAATAACTTTAAAAAAAGAAAGTGCTTCCATGGGTATTTTTGGTGGTTGTTTTGTTTGCTTTTGTACACAGCTAATCCTGACAGTGCCTTGCCCCAGGATGCTGGCTATGCCTCTCCTAGTATCCACCCAGCTATGTGCCATGCTCCACTGCAAGCTATGAACCATTCTATCCCCAAACATGCTCGAATGTAATAAAGTCACAGAATCTTCAATCTGCTAGGCCTGCAGGAACAGACAAGGCACACAGCTTCTTTCCTGGCAACAGCTTGGCCATTTCCCTCAGAGCAGAAGCTTAACTGAAGACCAATTCCCAGTTAATTATAAAATTGGCTGCTCTACTCTATTTATGCTTTTTGAGAAAACTGCCAGTCAGCACCTCCTGTGAGTCTGTTTGCGCCCCCATGCTGGGGCACAGCTCCATTTCTTTAGCTACTTTATGATGCACGTGGAAATTACCAGCATCTGTGTATTTTCGTGACATTTTGAAAACTGTGGCAACTAAACCAAAACAAAAGTCATCAGCGGTGTCACCATTTGATAGCTAAGCGCCGAAGGGGAGCCATCATTTCTTTTGGTAAGTGTTCTGGGGAGATCAGAAAGAGGCAGGGAACATACAGGAAGAAATCAAACACTTGCAACTCAAGATTACATTTTCAGCTTGGCCACGAATAGCATAGCCTTGAGTCCTCATTAGGAAGAGAACAACAGGATGTGTGTTTAGCACACTTACAACATCCATTCAGAGCCTCACAGATACACCATCTTCTAGACTGTTCTGTTGCCAGGATTGTGCTGATACATAGCATATGTACAAAAGCACATAAATTCTAAATGCGTTGCATGGCTGTCTCTTGTCCTAACTTAATTTTGGTTTTGTTGTTGATTTGGTGCCAGTACTAGGGCTTGAACTCAGGGCCTGGAGGTTGTCTCTTAGCTTTTACACTTAAGGTTGGTGCTCTACCACTTGAGTCACAACTCCACTTCCCACTTTTTGGTGTTTCATTGGAGTTAAGAGTCTCACAAACTTTCCTGCCCAGGTTGGCTTTGAATGATGATCTTCAGATCTCAGCCTCCTGAGTAACTAGGATTTCAGACATGAGTTTCAGGCCCCCAGCATAACTTGGGCTTTAAACACTGACTGAGCACATGACTACATACCAAGCAGCAGATACATCTGAATTGTGGTTTAATACAACAGCCCACATAGAGAGTGCTGTGGAGAGAGTCCCAGGAAGATGAAGAATCCACCCAGATTATCTAGTAAGTGGGACAGCCAAGATTTGAACCCAGGTTGTAAGCTCCAGTGAGGGCCAAGCTCCTAAGAGCCATGACTGAAGGTTTCAGGAGGCCCCATGCTGTTAAAAAAGAATAGGAAGGAAGGAAGGAAGGAAGGAAGGAAGGAAGGAAGGAAAGAAGGAAGGAAGACAATTTGCTTCAGGAGGCAGCATCAGGAGCTAAGGCTGTGCTGTATCCCCAGAAAGGCCAGGGTTTGGTGCCCCTCCACCATAGTCTGAAGCACACACACATCCCTCCCATTGCCAGCCAAGTGTTATGGACTGAGGGCTGGAACTTCAGAGCTTCTGGCCCAATGTGCCTTATGGGACTACTGTGGAGACCCAAGAGACACCTGCTGTTGGCACGCAGCAGGTCCACACCTCCCTCCCCTGCCTGTGACACTGGTACCTGCAGCCCAGGTGGGCACAGAGCTGGGCATAGTGCCCTTGCTGTGTGGTGATGCAGGGTCATGGGATCTGGGGACAAGGGGAAGCCAGGGGCATCAGGGTAGTGCCTTTATGCAGGCAGCAGGGAGTAGGGTAGATTTTACCATGTGCTGGCACCTGGGGCTCCCAAGTCTGCTACCACATCGCCACCTCCTGGGCTGACAGAAGTACAAGGTGAACAGGAAGGAGGAAAGAGGCAAGGACAGGAACACACCCATTCCCAGACATCCTTATACCTGGGCAAACGCCTGCTCCTAGGGTGCGGACTGCTTCCACCAGGGCCACATTAAAAGGCAGGGCACATTAAAAGATATGCATGTGTGTGTGTGTGTGTGTGTGTGTGTGCATGTGTACACACGTGCGTGCACGCACACACACAGAGTCTGGCCCACCTATACCTGATCTGTGAAGCAGAGCAGTACCTTAAAAAAAAAAAAAGACAGCTAGGTGTCGGTGGCTCACACCGGTAATCCTAGCTCCTCAGGAGGCTGACATCTGAGGATCCCACTTCAAAACCAGCCCAGGCAGGAAAGTCAGTGAGACTTTTATTTGGCCAGTCCTGGGGCTTGAACTTAGGGCCTGCACACTGTCCCTGCGCCTCTTTTGTGCTCAAGGCTAGCACTCTACCACTTGAGCCACAGTACCCACTTCCCTATGAGACTTATCTCCACTTAACCACAACAAAATTGGAAGTGGCACTGTGGCTCAAAGTGGTAGAGCACTAGCCTTGAACAAAATGAGCTCAGGGACAGCATCCAGCTGAGTTCAAGCCCCATGGCTGAAAAAAAAAATCAGTCTAGCTTGGTGGTACATACCTATAATTCTAGCACTCAAGAGGCTGAGGCAGGAGGATCAGGAATTAAGGTTAGCCAGTCTACATAGTTGAGACGCTGTCTCAAAGAAAACAAAACCAAGTGAAAATCAAATACCCAGATAAGTGAGTGGGACCAGCATTGGTGACCCAATGCTTCACCTTGGCTGTCTCCTCCCTCTGAGCCTTCTTGGTACCTCAGTTTCCCCTGTGGCATGGGGATAGGTGACATTTGCCAGGTAATAGGGAAACGGCATGTAAGCTGGAACCCAGGGTATACAAATGGAAAGCTTTGGTAATGGGCAGAGAACCCCAGAGAGCAGCATCAGGGTGGGGGAGAGTCGGGACCTGCAGGGGTCTTCTGGGAACTAGAATATGATAGAGCAGAAGCTGGCTGGGTAAGGGACACTGGATCTTAACTCCTTGGTCTGTGAAAGGAAACTCATCTGTCTTTAACAAGAATTGATAGGAGTCTTGCTGGGGACAACACAAGAAGGCTTCCTGGTAGAGGGGGGCCTCTAGGCCCAAATAGAAGTTGAAGGCTGAAGGCCAGGAAAGAAAGATCTGAAGGGGCCTTGGGGACACAGAGGGACTATTCCTCCCAGCATGTGTCCTGTTCCTGCACCTGCTGTGGACCACAATCCTTCCTCCAGGCCAGAATAAATACCACGACCTCCCCAGGTTGTCCTGGCCTTCTTTGCTGTCCTCCCAGGCTCCTCCTGATGGCAGTGACCTCCCTGGCAGTGTACTCACCTTCAAGACGAGAAATGTTACCAGATGCCAGTGGCTCATGCCTGGAATCCTAGCTACTCAGGAGGCTAAGATTTGAGGATTGCAGTTGAAAGCCAGCCTGGGTAGGAAAGTCAATATGACTCTCATCTCCAATAAATGACTCAGTGAAAGCTGGAAGTGGCACTGTGGCTCAAGTGGTAGAGCGCTATCCTTGAGCAAAAGCAGCTCAGGGACAGTGGTCAGGCCCTGAGTTCAAGCCCTAGGACCAGAAAAAGAGAGGAGAGAGGAAGAGAGGAAGAGAAGAAAAGGGAGAGGGAGATGGAGAGGGAGAGGAGAGGAGAGAGAGAGAGAGAGAGAGAGAAATAGAGAGAAACAGAGAGAGAAAGGAGAAAGAGGCACCCAAGTGTGCATTAAACAGCAGCAACTCCATGGTTCCATCATAACGAGACACTTGGTAGATTCACCATAGGCTTTATCAAATAAACACTAGTAATTAACATCCACCTGAAGCCTACTGAAGGACGCTTATAGTAAGCCCACTCTGAACTGTCTGGGCCTGGATCCCCCAGCTAATGAACAGACTTGACTGGGCCCAGAATCAAACGTGTTCTTCTGGGTATAAGAACACCCTCATAGCCGGGCACCAGTGGCTCACGCTTGTAATCCTAGCTATTCAGGAGGCTGAGATCTGAGGATCTCAGTTCGAAGCCAGCCAGGGCAGGAAAGTCCGTGACACTCATCTCCAATAAACCACTAGAAAACCAGAAGTGGTGCTGTGGCTCAAGCGGTAGAGTGCTCGCCTTGAGCTGAAGAGTACAGGGACAGCGCCCAAGCCACGAGTTCAAGCCCCACGACTGACCAAAAAAAAAAAAAAAAAAAGAACACCCTCATTTCTTGAACATGGACCCCCAGCTTCTGGCACAGCTCTGACCCAGCACTGCTGAATTCAGCAGTCCTTGCAGGACTGGTGCTCCAGTATGATGGTAGAGAATAGTGGATCCAATATAGAGGACATGGGTTGTGTTTGTGTGTGTGTGTGGGGGGGGGGGGGGGTCCCAGAAAGGATCATCAGTCAGCAGTATCTTCTTCCCTCCCTGGCAAGTCTCTTCCATTCTACGGTAGCCATAGCCCAGTTGAGCAAGCCAGTGCTGGTTGGGTCTAGAGATGACAGTAATTAAAGGAGGAAGAGACATAGATCAATGGTGGTCTAGGAAAGACTATACAGATGGACAAAGTAGAGTGTCATATCTACCCCTGGTAGTGGTGTGTGTGTGTGTGTGTGTGTGTGTGTGTGTGTGTGTGTGTGTGTGTGTGTGTGTGTGTGTGTGTGTGTGTGTGTGTGTGTGTGTGTGTGTGTGTGTGTGTGCGCGCGCGCGCTAATACTGGGGCTTAAGCTCAGGGCCATGTCTCACTTGGCTATTTTGCTCAAGGCTGGTGAACTACCCTTTGAACCACACCTTTACTTCTGACTTTTTGCTGGTGAATTGAAGAGTCTCATAGACTTTTTTTTGCCCTGAATTGGCTTTGAACTGCAATCCTCAAATCTCAGTCTGCTGAGTAAGCTAGGATTACAAGAGTGAGCCATCATAGGCATGGTTCTTTTGTAGAATCTGAGCATCTCATTTCCTTGACTGGACACAGCCAGGATAGGCTGCATAAGGCATTCAGGGGACCATTAACAAGTAAACATGTATGTTCAAACATTAGAATTTAGAATTGGGGTGTAGTTTAGTGGTAGAGTGCTTTCCTAGCATGGACAAGGTCCTAGATTCAGTCCCATACACTCCTTAACCCAGTGTAATCTTTCACACTTCTGTGCAACAATTTCCTCATCTGTATCATAAAGATAAACTATTATTTCCCATGAAGGTATTTCATGAATTGCATCTGTGTCTTCCATTTTTAACTAACTACTTGCCTTATATACTTCAGGAAGATTGCTTATTTATCTCTGAGTTGCACCAACTTCCCATAGGATTCTACACACACACACACACACACACACACACACACACACACACACACACCACCTTTTTTTAGGATTAAGTCTCCCTGGAGATTCAGTCTCTTTGAAATAATTTGGTGCAGATATGGTATTCTGTTAACCTAGCTACTCAAGAGGCTGAGATCTGAAGATCATCATTCAAAGCCAGCTGGGGCAGGAAAGTCCTTGAGACTCTTGTTTTCAATTAATCACAAAAAGCTAGAAGTGGAGCTATATGGCTCAAGTGGCAGAGTGCTAACCTTGAGCAAAAAAGCTCAGGGAGAATGCCTAGGTACTGAGTTCAAGTCCCAGGACCAGCGTGTGCACACGCACGTACACACACACACACTCGCGCGCGCATGCACACACACACACACACAAAATCAGGATATAATAGCAGAGCACTGACCAAGCTTAAGACTCCTAAGCATGGGATCTTGTGGGACTTCACAGTCACAAAGATGGCCCCATAAGCATACACGAGTTCATAAGAGGCCCGGGCCCTCCATTGTCAAGGTTGTGATGGGAATGGTTGGATAAGATTCTGCAACTGAGATTCAGAGAGAGTCCTTGCTTCTCAGTCTGTCTCCTCCCTCCACTCAGGGTAGAGAACATGGAGGAGGCCAGGCTCTGGTGGCTGTGGGGATAGACAGAGGTGCACATGGAGAGATAGTAGTAAGAATAAAATCATTAGGACTCGCTGTTGGTGGGTGGGCCATGGGTGGGAAGGACAGGCTGGAGGCTTCCCCTCTAGGAGTGGTGAGCAGCTGGATCCATGGAGACATGGGGGCTGTGGGTGGAGGAGAGAAGTGAGCAGGTGATCCAGCTGTTGTCTTTGGAACCAGAGGTGGAGACAGAACATGGCAGAGACAGTAAGCTCTGTACCACGGTAGAGACAGAGCCAGGTTCCAGTGTGGCAGGAGGGCAGAGCTTCAACATGGCAGCTTCCCAGGCTTTGGGCAGGCCCAGGGAACCCCTCTGAGTCCCCCACCCGGTTCCTTCCCCAGAAAGGCCTTACCTGGTAGAACAGGCTCACTGGCAGAGTCTCTCCTCCTCTTGGTCATAGAGTAGCCCTTCTTGGTAAATCTCAGCCAAGCCTTTGCTCCAAGATTCCCATGTGAAGAGTACATCTGAGCTGTTTTCCTCTGAATCTGTGAAGACCCAAGATACAGCTTCTGGAGTGCTGACATCCGATCTTACACCCCAGCTCATAAAAAGTTACCTGCTGCAGTCTTATGTGAGAACAGAAGACACAAAGAAGAGCTATGACTTAAGAGACCAGCCCCAAGACCTCAGGAAGAATTTAGGGCCTTGGTGTTCTAGAAAGGTTATCTTATGGCTCAGAAAGTGGTCAGATCCATCTATTAGGAAGGGAAGGGCCTTAGAGATGACCTACAATTGGGGTATATCCAAGGGGGGGGGGGGGAGGAGACACTGAAGAGACACAAAACCAGCCATTGACCTGCCCATCCATTCATCTATCTAGCAAGCATGTGGCCTTGAGTTCAAACCCCAGTACTACCAAAAAGGGTAATGGCTTGAAGTAACTACTCTTCATTTGAGATCAGGATTCTTTTCTGAAAATATGCTAAGTGTTAAGTGATTACCATGCTGTTTCCTCAATTAGTTCTCTTGCCAACTTTTTGAAGGCCATTATAGGTTAAGTATCTCTTACTTGAAAGACTGGGAACTAGGAATGTTTTAGATTTGGTAATCTTTGCATCGATTTTTTACTGGAAACCTAAAACTTTCTGAATGTCATTCTGGATTTCAGAGTTTAGGAAGGAGGGATTCCCAATCTGTGAAGGATCTTCCATATTTTGCAGGCGGGGAAGGCTGTGATGGCTCGTAGCCAGTTAGTGGTTGGACTGGATTCAAACTCATCCTATCAGCTCTGCCATTGTGGGGTTCCACCGAGTACACTCACCTTGAAGTCAAGATATTCAGAGGCATTGTTGGATACCTTGCTCCAAGGACCACCATGCAGGTGAGCAGCTGTTCCCTAAGCACAATACTGTACCCCTCCAGTCTCAGCCCGAATCCATCTCTGGACACTTCCATTTTCTTTCTGCAAGTTCCTTCCCCCTTCTCCTGGTCATGGCCAGAGGTTACTAGTGTCCAATGGATAACTTTCCCAGTGTCCTATGGATAACTTTCCCAAGAGTTGAGCTGACGGTTTTGTCTTTTCTTGGGTCCATATGATCTGACGAGGCAGCTCCCCTTCCCTTTCTCCCTTGGCTTGGGAAAATGCAACCTCCTGCTTTTTCTGGCATTTTCTGAACTGGTGGGTCCTGAAATATCTTTTTTGGCCCTGCTGAGCCAGATAGGACTTGGGGATGGTGCAGCTGGGAGGAGTCAGAGCAGCTCTTGTCATTGGCCTGGAATCTAGCTGATTCCAAGAAAGGGACACACAGCAGAAGAGAAAACCGTACGCCTGGGTCAAGCACAGTGGCTCATATTTGTTACCCCAGTTACTCAGGAGACAGAGATTGGGATTGGGAAGATTGTAGTTTAGCTAACGAGACTCCATCTCAAACAATAAGCTGAGCATGGTGGTTCTCATTCATGGTTTCATCTATGTAAGAGGAATGAGGAGAAGGAACATGGACTGAAGGTGGCCCTTGGCAAAAACATGAGAGCCTGTTTGAAAAAATGATAAAAGCAAAAAAGACTGGGTGCACAGTTTAAGGAGAACATTTACCTAACAAGAAAACCAAAAACCTGTGTGTCTCGAAACTCTAACCCTCTAAACTCTGGCAGAGCTTTGGCCAATGGCCAACACAACAAGAAAATACTCTCAATAATACTTAGAGCAAGAGCTCTCAGGGGACCCTGGGAGAGGATTCCCCACTTTAGGGAGGGCATATCTTTATGGTAGAATTAACAAAAGACTTCTAAACCCAGAGAGATAGCTTTCATAAAAGCCAGTTCACTAGCTGGGCATCAGTAGTTCATACCTGCAGTCCTGGCTACTCAGAAGGCTTAGATCTGAAGACTGTGGTTCAAAGCCAGTCCAGGCAGGAGAGTCTTTAAGACTCTTATCTACAATTATCATCCAAAAGCCAGATGTGGAGTTGTGGCTTAAGTGGTAAAGTATTAGCCTTGAGCAAAAAAGCTATGGGACAATGCTTAGGCCCCGAGTTGAGGCTCTAGTACCACACACACACAGGGACACTGCTTAGGCCCTGAGTTGAGGCTCTAGTAACACACACACACACACACACACACGCACACGCACACACACACACGATCCTGATTCCCCACCAGCTGCTGGGCCCAATGTCTGAGCTTTACTTTTCAAAGAGGGCTTTGGTCTACCTTGGAAATTTGAGAATATGTTTTAATTATGCCTTTCCCAGAAGCAACAGGACTTCAGGCTCTTGCCAGGAAATACACTAATTACATAATCACTCCGAGGCCACAGGACAGTGGAAGTGGGGTAAACTGTTCACTTGGTCTCAAAAACATGTGACCAGAGTTGGCAGGAAGCTTACAACTCCTCTCCTAGCTGGCCAAAGGTCATGGAACTAAGGAGCAGGAGGTAAAAGGCTGAGTGGTCCCCAAAAAGGCCTCTGGGTGGAGGACCTCCTGAGGATCAGGATGTCCAAAGAGAAGTATCAGTCCTAGCCAGGTACTTGTGGCTTACACCTGTAAACCTAGCTACTCAGGAGGCTGAGATCTGAAGATCACAGATCAAAGCCAGTCCAGCAGGAGTCTGAGACTCTTCAATTCACTAGCCAAAAGCCAAAAGTGGAGATGTATGCCTCAAGTGATAAGTGCCAACCTTTGAGCAAAAAAAAAAAAAAAAAAAAAAAGCTAAAGGACAGTACCTAGGCCCTGAGTTCAAGCCATAGTACTAGAACACACACACACACACACACACACACACACACACACACACACACACACACACACACACACACACACACACAGAATAAGTCCTGCTACATGCCTAACCCACTTGCTCTCAGCTTCCCTTGAGGCCAACTTGGCCCTGCCTTTGCTCCTCTGTGCAGTAGTAGTCAGCTTCCACAATCCTGTGTCCCAGAGAAGCTCAGAGATATGGGATGGGCCAAAAACAATGTGAATGTTTGTGGGCACCTGAAAAATACCACAGGCTGCCATATCTTGTGCAGCCAGTGGCCCACGCCTGTAATCCTAGCTACTCAGGAGGCTGAGATCTGAGGATTGTGGTTCAAAGCCAGCCCAGGCAGCAAAGTCCGTGAGACTCTTATCTCCAATAAACCACTAGAAAACCGGAAGTAGCTTCGTGGCTCAAGTGGTAGAGCACTTGCCTTGAGCTGAAGAGCTGAGGGACAATGCCCAGGCCCAGAGTTCAAGCCCCATGACTGACCAAAAAAAAAAAAAAGCACCCGTACAGCTGGGAAGGCAAGTGGGGCTTAATAGCAGCCCCTGCTCTGATCCCAGAGCTTCTGCTCAGGGAGAGTATCTTTCTCTAATCCATTGACCCAACAGCATCACCTCTTTCTAATTCACACCAAAGATCCTATGCACTGGTAGTATCCCTGAGAAGTGCAAAACTAACTTCACAAAGTCAGGAATTTATTCTTGGATTCTAGGTTCCTTTCACAGTCAGCCACTTGTATCTGAGCCACACTTCAAATCCCCAAGCAAGGTCCCCCTTCTCTGTGATTTGTTTCAGGATACCTTATCCAATTGGGTCCCTGCCCAGCTCCAAGATTAGAGCCCAGTCTGGGCCCAGCAGCTTACCTTGGCTAAGTAAGATGTGTAACCAGACGATCACCAAGAACAGCAGCAAAACCATGGGCAGGCAGAGCCAGAGAACCAGGAATGGAAATGTGAGGTCGTTCACCAGCGGTACCAGTGGGAACTTCATGGTATATGTCTGGCAGAGCAGGGCCGGTGCTTTGGCATGAGCATGCAAGGTGCCCCTGGGGCCTGGCAGGCTGGGCCAGGCTCTGCTCTTAGTCCAATTGTGACTAAGCAGTGACCGTGACAGTGATGGTGACGTAAGGAGGAGGTATGTCCTCAGGCAGAACTGCAGGGGAAGCTGGGAAGGCTGGCAAGGGTGCTGGCATGGCTGGGAGCAGGCATGGCTGGGAGTAGGGGCCGTGAGACCCTCTGGCTGAGAATGAAAGCCCTGGTTACTCAATGTCCAGCCTGGATTTCATTCCCAGCTCAGCCACTTCATGGATACCTCTCTGATCTTCTTTCTTGTAAGACTAGAATAATACTAAAACTTGAAAAATAGATGGGACAGAAATTACTTCAGGAGGGGGGTGGCATTTCTGGGTGTGTGTGTGTGTGTGTGTGTGTGTGTGTATGTGTGTGTGTGGTTAGACACCACCACAGCCAGTCAGGTCCCCAGGCCCTTTCTTCCAACTACACATGTGCACATCCTTCTCAAACTGCTCTAAGAGAGTTAAAAGTCTAGATTTTCTAAGTGAAATCTCCCAAGTTAAAAACAATAGATCAGGGCTGGTTCAAGTGATAGGCCAGCCAAGCAAGTAAACTTGAGCAAGTCCCAGCTCTAAGTTCAAATCCTAGTACCAGGGGGGAAAAAAAGCTGCATCAAACTTCAGGAGAACATTGTTGGCTAAATCCATCTGCCAAGCTGTATTAGGTCACTGGGCTGATATAACATACAGTAGACCATTATTTGTTTAATCTGGAAGCTATACTTGTCCTGATTTTCATTCAGTAGAAAGGACACGCCCAAATGCTATTCTTGTCCACCTCCTCTGTCAATCATCCACTTACCAGGCATTTAGAACCTCCTGTGGCAGGATCCTGTCTTTTCCCAATCTGGAGGACTGTGGCCAGGTTGGAATCCTTGGGGTGAGGGGAAGTACATGCAGAACCACAACTGGTACATTTCATGAAGTCCTTGGTCCACTGCCTCCATCACTGTGAGCCAGGTAGGTGAGGGTGGGAGTGCTTTAGTTAACATGCTGATTCCAGGCTTACCTTCGTCAGCTGAGTCTGATCTCTGGGAGGTAAAGGGCAGACTCCACATGCGAAGGCAGACCTGGTGTGGAGATATGGTTGAAGAGCATACGTTATAGTCGGGCACTCATTCTAAGCCAAGGAGCAGCTGTCGGAAGTGTTGCAGGCCTAGGAGATGACATGGGTGGATCTTAGAAGACACCAGTCAAGGCAGAAGGGAACCAGGTCAGCCGTAGGGAAGAGTAGGGAAGGAAAGAACTGGTGTCCAGAGGTCCAGTGGCCGATAGGGGCCCCATCCCTGCTCTGGGATCGTGAGTTCCCAGGAGAGCTCTGTGCAAAAAGGATTCAGATGTGCACCCAAGAACAGTGCCCAGGGAGGCTGTGCTGGGGCAGGGCAGCTGGAGCTGGGCTGATTCCTAGGTGTTGGGTCTTGGAAGGCTTGGTTGGAAAGAGCAGAGCAGCAGAGGTCAGAAAAACTTGAACACGTCTTCTGGCTATAAAACTTTCCCAGTCACCAAAATGAGGCATCTGTGTGGTCAGCTTCCTCAGCCACTAGATCAGGCCAGAGACCTTGTGACTGGCTGGCAGCTGCAGCCCCAGGCAGTTCCGGGGTGCTAGGCTGGTGCTTGGGAGGGGGAGGAGGCAGCTCTTGGCAGACAAGTACAAGGGCTCCCATCAGTTTCAAGTGGCCCACCCAGCACATGTGATCTAGGCATTGTAGTACTAACCTGGCCTCAGGGAATCCTTGGTAGCCAAGTTTAGGCAAAGCAGCAGTGGGAACAGGAGTGTCTTTGTCTCCCCACTTCCAGACTGCCCAGCCCTGCTAGAACTCATGTTCTCTGTAGGCAGAAAAACTCGAGGGTCAGAGCCTTCCCTCCATCCCCATTCTCCTCTCCCCAGCTATTCTCAGGCTCCTCCAGCAGAGACCATGTGCTTGTCTTTAAAAAAATAATGTTTATAGCAGTACATCATGAAACGCTCCTTCATCTCTGGGTAAAAATCCACAGATCTAACCCTGAAGGGTAGTCAGCTGAGCAGAGCCCCTGGAAAGTATGATTTAAGAGCACCATGCAGGAGCCAATGTAACCAAAAGCACACAAGGTTATTAGATAAGAATCTACTTAAAATTTAATTGACTAAATGTATTACATTCAGTTTTCCATAAGTTTTTCTGGACAAAGGATCTGCATAAATACAAACTTGTGGAGTTTCTTCCCTAGTGACAGAGATCAAACACAGGAGGCGAGGGGCACAGGCACACCTTCCTATTTACATCTCGCCTGTACTTTACACTTCAGTGCCAGAAATATTTACAGAAATACAATAAGAAAAACATCATGTCTTGGCAACATACTGAAATCCATACAAATTGTAAATATGGTTTCAAGCAAATTATGATACTGCTTATTTTTCAGCCACAACTGCCAAGCCCTTCAGAGGAGAAAGAAGTCTTGGTCACTGCGGGAGATGAGAACTTGGGAAACTTCATTTGCTTCAACAAATAGTTATTGGGCGCCTACTAGATGCAAGGCACTGCGGAATCCCAAATATAGCTTTTCCCTCACTACTAAAACAACAAAGGCCGGGGGTTGTAGCTCAGTTGAAGAGCACGTGCTTAACAGGTATGAGGCCCTAGATTCAACCTCTAGCCCTGAAAAAACCAACATACAACAACAACAAAAAAACCCCCAACAAATCATAAAACTGTGAACAAGGGTTAATACTTTTGAGAAAACCTTACCCATTGTGTGGATTTGTCTGGCTCCATATTGTTCAGGTGGATCCTCCATTTACTTCAGGTAGAGGTTCTGGGGGCAATGCTCACTCCCAGAACTGTTTCAGGTAAACATGAGCCTCCACATTTCCAGGGAGATCCCACCTGCTGGACCTTGAGTGCTAACGGAACACTGGCCAGCAGGAGCCCCAAATGTGCTCCACATGTCTCCACTACCTACCGCTTAACACTGTGCAAGGTAAAGCTGCACTTCTCAAAGAAATCTGTCTGGCAGAGCCGGACACTTTCCCAGCACATGCAGGAAGGAACCATTCATGAAGGCCCATGTAACCTATGGGCTACTGATGTTACAACCAAAGGTTGTATTTTGTATTTGTAACTGAGTCCGGAAAATGGGCTGTACTGAGATACAGTGCCCAGAATAGGACGAAAATGCTCATTGCATCTGTGTGAAAGGCTGTCCCACCACATAATTATTCCCTTCAAAGGACAGTGTTAGCAGGAAGCCCTGGCTAATGATGGGGTAAGGGTTGAGATTAAGAGGGGCAGGAAGGAGAGAAGAGGGGTAGGGGGGAGAAGAGAAGAGAGAGAGAGAAAGGGAGAGAGGAAAGAGAGGGAGAGAGGAGGGAGTAGTTTAACTCCAGAAGGAAGCAGGAGGAGTGACCTGCTTGCCTCTTGGGTAATGCTTTTCTCTTTCTAGAAGGCCATACTCAACTCACCCATCCCAGGTACCTGGCACATGGAGCAACTGCGCAGCCTAATCCAGGCCCAGAAGGTTCCAAACATATGCTGGTAAATTTACCAAGTGGACCAGTAAACATTACTGTTAGGTACTAAATAAGTTCCACTGACATTGCTGTACTCAGGGTTTACTTCATGACCACCAACTCCGGCCTGTACCAGTGTATGGGCTGATGGAATTCTGAAAGGAACCAGCACCTGACGAGGTCCCACATACACCATATTCTGCCAGCTCTGTATACACTAGGGGCTTCATGCCTTGCAGGTTGTACATCCTTCCTCCCCTGGGCAATTGTCAAGTCTCTCAGATCCCAAACTGCATCAGCATAGTGTCCACCTACCAAAGTTTTTGGAAGTAAAGAATTGACAGAAACTGAAGCCAACAGAAAGACCAATAGACCCATCCCCAACACACAGACACAGAAACATAGACACATAGATACCTGGTATTCAATCTATGCCCCAACTAAAAGACTTGTCCAAAGAAAAACATCTATATCAGCTTTGTTGTTATTGTTACTGGTTGTGGGGCTTGAACTCAGGGCCTGGGCACTGTCCCTAAGCTGTTTTGCTCAAGACAAATGCTCTACCACTTTCAGCCAAAGCTCCATTTCCAGTCTTCTGGTGGCTAACTGGAGGTAAGAATCTCCGACTTTCCTGCCTGGCTGGCTTCAAACAGCTATCCTCAGATTTAAGCCTCCTAGGATTACAGGTACAAACTACCAGCACCAGGCATATATCAGTTGTTTTTTTTTTTTTAACATGTGGAATGTTATAACATTGCACATTCAATTTATAGCCTTCACATCAACTAGAATAAGCGCTCCTTCCCTTAAAGTGTCAACCTGGAATTTTTCTTGAAAGCTGTTAAACTTCAACTATTCTTGCTGAATTCTTAAAACACTTTTAGGGTAAAACTCACATTCACACTCCCCTGCTGCCATCTGAAGACACACTTATTGCTCAGCTCAAAAAGCAATCAGTGGTTGAATACTATCATGCCTTATATGGAGACTAGGTCACAGGAAGAAGAGGAAAAAGAGGTATCTGTACCTGAGCTGAAAACAAACATGAAGAAGAGGATGGCAGACTTAAGACTAAGAGCTGGTATACCCATGTTACTTGCTGAAAGATTCCTGAGCAGGGAAGGAAGCCCTACACTGCCCTCAACCCTCTAAAGAAAATACTGGAACAACAAAATAGTAAGAGCAGCGTGACACTGCTCTACAGACATGCTGACACCTGAGAGCTATGGGAAATACCTGCATCCTCTGATCACCCCTTTGTGGACTTGAAATATCATTTTTTTTTTTTTAAGAAAGCAATCTCAGCAAGAAACACACACAAAGGAGAGAAGTGGAGGACACAGAGCATTGTACAGAAACCCTCATAAGGAAGGTCTGAGTCTAGCCAACTCCCAAGTTTGTCCCTAGCAGAAATTTAGCAGCAAAGTTCCACAAGTATTCCCAAAGACCTGGTAGGGATTTGTCATGCCTTCAGCTGACTAAGGACACAAAGCACGACAATAGCCCC